CCCCAAAACCCCAAAACCCCAAAACCCCAAAACCCCATTCGGTTCAATTATAATTGATTTATAATTAAAATGGTATGTTTGTTACATTAAAGGGAGTGTTTCCTCTTTTCTTACTCTTAGTGTTTGATAAGCCTATATACACACCTATTCCGACTTTTAAGATGGCTTGAACACACCCCATTTATTAATAAAGCTGTTGATTTATTGTTCATATAGCCACAAGGAGATTACATCGAGTTGCATACTAAAAGAAATGGAAGGAGACTTGACCATGAAGAAAGGTCAAGGAAGAGAGAAGCAAGGTCAAAGCATCTTATTGCCAAGAATGCTAAATATCTGAGAGGAGTCAAAGCTAAAATATTTGCAAAGGAGAGGTATAAGGAAAAGGTAGAGATGAGGAAAATGATTAAAGCTCATGAAGAGAAAGATGCTACTGTCAAAGATAAGCAGAAGACTGATGGAGCTATTCCAGCTTATTTAATGGATAGGGATGAAGTTAATAGAACTAAGGTTTTAAGTAATATGATCAAGCAAAAGAGAAAGGAAAAGGCAGGAAAATGGCAACTTCCATTAGAAAAAGTTAAGCCTATGTCTGAAGCTGAAATGTTCAAGGTAGTGAAGACTGGTAAGAGAAAGAGAAAGGCTTACAAGAGAATGATTAATAAAGTAACCTTTGTTGGAGATAATTTCACAAGAAAACCACCGAAGTTTGAGAGATTTATTAGACCAACTGGATTAAGGTTTAAAAAGGCCCATGTAACCCATCCAGAGCTTAAGACTACCTTCTGTCTAGAAATTATTGGAGTCAAGAAGAACCCTCAAAGTGCTTTATACTCAACACTTGGTGTAATTACTAAAGGAACCCTTATTGAAGTCAACGTGAGTGAACTCGGTTTGGTGACTCAAACTGGTAAAATAGTATGGGGGAAATATGCACAGGTCACTAACAATCCTGAAATGGATGGATGCATTAACGCTGTACTTCTTGTCTAAAGATTTCAATTACCCATTTAGAATAAGGGGTTTTGGGGTTTTGGGGTTTTGGGGTTTTGGGG